CACAACTTGTGAGCCAGTAGCTCACAAAGTAGAATTTTTGCTCACAAGACTCCACAGCTTAGAGGGAGTATTGGATGTAGGTTTTGAGAACACAAATACACACTGGAGATTAGTGCTTGTATTTATAGGGAAAATGTTCCCTGAGGCACGATGACAGGTTTGCCCCCAAAACAATAGCTTGATGTGTTTACCAGAATTTTCCTAAAGACTTGGAACAAAGTCTGAGGGAGATCAAACAACGGAGCTGAGCTTTATGGCTCATTGATGACTCCCAAAATACAGGATGGGAGAAACTTCCAGGTGTTTTGTATATGCGAACAAGGGTAAATATGCAAAAGGGGGGAGCAGGACTGGGGATGAAATAGGTTAATTCAAAGTGAGGGGCTGTTTTCCTGAGAAACCCATTGTTATTAAATTATGTATTACTTTAGGGTGGGAGAATGCTGTTTGAAAGTTTGCCTCTTGATTCACTTCCAAATAGTTTCACAGGCTGGTGTTCCAACCGCTGACTGGCGTCCCCTTTGGGGTCATTTCTGGGCCAGGCAGCGTGTTATACTTTTGATATTTGGAGTGATATTATATGAAGGGTGTGTGGACTTCTTTTCTCTATGGCCGCCAACTACCCATCTGTGGGAGGGGGCGGGCTGACTGCTAACAGTAGAATAGAACAGGAGATCTGAGTCCTTTTATCCTAATCAAAAGGTAGGAGAAATGTTGTAAAGAATGCTGGAAAGGGATGCGAAGGTACATTGTATATTGTAATCAGCATGATTAGCGCATGGGGGAAATGCCTGTGGGCAGAAAATTAGCATCTGTAGTGAGATAAGAATCCTGTGTCCCTGGTTCATATTGTTATGGGACTCCCCACTTGCTCAGACAGTGAAGAGTTCCTGTGCCAGGGCTTATCTGGGTTGGTTCCCTTTGTAGGAGAGAGCCCTGGAAACTTATGGTGGCTTCATTTACAAATATGCAAGTAGAACACAGGCGGTGGCAGATAGGCATTGGTGCAGAACTTTATCCGATTCTTAGAGGGATCCTAGGTCCCTAAGCACTTAATCTTCAGTCAGCTCTCTGTTTCTGTCCCCAAACTCTTACCTGCTGTTTCTTTTCTTTCCCCACCGGCATCAGCCTCCCTCCCCCACAGCCTGTGTTGGTAAGAAGTTCCAGAGGTAGCCTTAACTTAGTGGGTTGTCTGTCTCGGATGAAAGTGCACTAGAGATTTATGGTGTCTTCATAGTATTTGTTTTATTACCTAGTAATACAAGAAGAACACAGGGGGAGGTGAAGAGATATTCTTGTATGGCAGCAAGTTTGCTACCCCACATTGGAATGTGTGGTAGGGACCCTGAACTCTGAGACGCTTTAGTTTCCAGCCATTTAGTAGCCATCTTTTGAAGCTGCCACTTGCTGTTTCTTCATGCACTTTGGCTTACCTGACCACTTAGCTGGAAGATGATGCTTCCCAACTTTGGCAGGTATCTTTTTAAAGAGCTGTCAGGGGACCATCTCCTAACATTAAGCTTCCATCTGGGAAATATCCACAGCTATTGAAGGAATACTTCAATACATATCTGACAAAGCTTTGACTCTTCAACGCTTATACCCAGAAAACCTTGTTGGTTTCTAAGTTGCTTCCGGACTCTAGCTGAAGAAATATGAACATTCTCTTTTCCAAAGGTCCCAGCCCCCTACCAGGTGCCACTTTAGGCAACACCTTAGTAGGCCCATTTACGGTGCTTGAACAGAACACAGTACACTTTCTGGAAGGCCATTCCTCATCGGCCTGGAAACACATTTGCATGTGACGATGGTCCACGTGGCTACTTCACTGATTGGAAGTGTGTTGCCATGCAGTGGCCAGTTTGCATCTTCCTGCCAGATGGGTCACAACCACAGTGATGTGTGCACTATGTAGCAGTGCAACATTACAAGTTTCATGAGTATTCAGTCGGCTTGTTACTCTCTGCCACATTGTATTTTATTTATTTAACATTTGATTTAATATCCCACTCGAATCCCTTGGCTAGGGATCTCTGAGCGGCTTACAGATTTTTAGTGGTGCTAGTCACCATTTTCCCCTGACTAGGGCCACAATGTGTAGGGGATGGGACAACCTACCAGCACCCCCCTATGGTGGTCGTTGTTGTTCTTCTTCCATCGGCTTGGCTCGGGTCGGGTCTCTGGCTGGTGGGTGTTCTTACCGGCGTTCGGTGGTGGCCTTTTCTCTTTCCTCTTGAGGCGCGTGACTCCGCCTGCTTCCGGCCCGGCCACGTCCTTTCCAGCTCTGCAGGGCTGGTGCTAGGCGTCTGCGCACGCTCCTTCTTTCCTCAATGGCAGCCTCGGTGTATTCTTTCCTGGCCACCAGGGATCGCTCGATGCGCTTCCTCGATCGCGCCCGTCTGCCGCCGCTACGCCACGCCACCGCGCTGTTCGCCGTCTCGAGTCAGCACTCGCCGCCGCCATCATTGCCGTCACCGCCGCCACCGTCCTTCCAACCACCATACAGGGTGCCCCCCACCCATCTAAGGGTGGGTACCCATTTATCTACTTGCAGTTAAGTTGCTTTCAAAACCGCTGGGTGGGCGGGAGCTGGGACGAAGGTCGAGAGCTCACCTTGACCACGGTGGTACTCGAACAGCCATAGTGGCTGTTCGAATGATGTTACAAGGCAGGCATTTAACTCATCCTGGTGATAAGTTCAACCCTGGTTGGGATGCAGAAACTGGCAAGCTTCTGTCACTGAGCCACATGAACACATGAAGCTGCCTTACACTGAATCGGATCATTGGTCCATCAAAGTCAGTATTGCCTGCTCAGGCTGGTAGTGGCTCTCTGGGGCCTCAGGCAGAAGTTTTCCACATCACCTATTGCCAGGGAATTGAACTTGGGACCTCCTGCATGCCAAGCAGATGCTCTGCCACTGAGCCATGGCCCCTCTGTGGCTCCTATATTAAGACAGGCCTACAATAACTGCTACTCACAGGTTTATGGCTTTACAGCTACGCTAGGTTTATGTCTTTACATTTTTGAGATTTTTAGAGGAAATAATTTGTTTTGGGTAGAGAGAGCTAGCTTTGTATTTTATCTTCTGTGGCTCTATGTGTGCTCTAGAGACCAGTGCTTAAAATCTAAAGTAAAGACAAATGAAACTGGGTCAGCTCAGAGAGGCTTGAGGTTAAGAGGAGGCTGTAACTCACAGAAATGGCTTATAGATTAGATCTCTGGAGATCAGCCCTAAACACAGGAAGTTGTCTTATACTGAGTCAAACCACTGGTCTGTTGTCTACTTCAACTGGCAGTGGCTCTCAGCTAGAGGTCTCACACTGCATACTAACTGAACAAAGTTTGAGTCCCGTGGCACTTTTTAGTCAGACAAAGTTTTATTCAAGGCATAAGCTTTTGCGTACACTTCTTCAGATACAATGAAATGGAAGTTACCAGTCCATACATATGGGAAGAGGGTGAGCAGTAAATTAGCATACAGCACAATGAGGATGTTTTAACAGATTCAAGGCCCAAACAGGAATAACAAGCTTAGCTTATATGGTTGCCATTTGTTTGGGTTTAATTCTGGGGTGAAAACACAGTGAAGGGAATAAATATGTCAGAATTGGAGATTGATTGGCAGATGTACTTTTCTTAATTGTGGAATGCTGAGAGGAATTAACTGAGACCCTGCCATTACACTCCATCCCTCTCCTCTCAAGCGTGCAGGCGATCTTACAGCATTATCTTCCTTGAGGTGGGGTGACTGACTCTGTAAGAGTTATCTCCCCTGTTCTTTTAAGTGGAGATGCCAGGATTGAAACTTGAGAACTTCTGCGTACAAAGTAGGTTCTTGATCACTGAACTGTGGCCCTTCTCCTGTTCTTTCCCTTGCTGTTAGTGGCAGGGTGCATAGTCTTTTGTGGCTTGATGAATAAATTTGAAGCCTTCTAAATACCTGAGGAATGTATAGTGTTTTCTTAGCAAATGATTTCTTAGCGCCATAGGTAGGAACGTTCCACAGCCAAAGGCATAAGTGACATGGTTGCTTAAAAGAGGGTAGCGGACTAGATAAAGGGATTCTTTTTTTTTTAGAAATTGGTATGCTAAAGTGGTACACATCTTTACTTCATTTATAACCTAACTTCTTCCCCAGTGGGGACCCAAAGCAAATTACCTCATTCTCCTCACATCCATTTTATCCTCAAAACCGCCCTGTGATGTAGGCAAGGCGGAGAGGGTGTGGCTTGGCCCAAGTTCACCCGGCAAGTTTCCATGGCAGAACCTGGGGTCTCTCAGATCTGAATCCAGCACTCTAACTACTGAACCACACTGGCTTTTGTTGTATCTGGAAGACATGCTGGGATTGTGCCAATCTTCATGCTAATAGCTGATGGTTCATTTGGCACGCTGGGGTCCAGTGGGACTGGGATGAATGAAGTGGAATAATATAAGAATTTAGCATAAAGTCTCCATGTTCATTGGTATTTGTCCCTGGAAATAACTGCAACTTCCTACATCATTTGGTTTAGTGCTGTAGGTTTAATGAACCATGGGAGCAACATTGTCAGAGGTGAATCTGCATAGGAAATTCTGTGATGATCATTTATAACATCAGATCCCTTTGTCCATCTTAAACTTACAGTGCCATCCTAAGCAGAATTACACCATTCTGAGCCCGCTGAAGTCAATGGGCTTAGAAAGACACAACTCTGCTGAGCATCACACTGGTAGAGAGTAAAGCCCTGTGAGGAGGGTGCAGCATAGAAAAAGCATCAGAGAGGAAAGGGTGGGATAAGCAAGAGGGATGTTAAGCCATTACAGAGAAGAATGAGCCAGGGACTTGTGCATACAACCTTGGAAGAACCGTAGAGTCCAGAAGACAGAACTAGTGGACTCATGTCTTAAAGCTTACAGATGCATTTTTGGACTACTTTGGAAGAAGTTTTATGTTTCAACTGGCATTTTCTCTCTTTAGGCCTCTAACATACTTTCCCCCCTCTCCTTGTTTCTAGGAGTACATCATCCGTGTACAGAGAGGGATTTCTATGGACAATAACTGGCAGGTAACTTAAAATCTGAAATCAATTGAGAAAATAACAGAAAGCTCCAGATTATTCAAGCCGGTGTCTTTCTGATCTAAAGTGCCCTGCCTTGATGCAGATTGGAGGCCGATTTGCATACCAGACCATGCCAGTTACATACCAAATCCACCAGCTGTGAAACAATGTATGCCTTGGCTATGATGTAGTATACATGAAACTGGCTTGCACTGACTTTGTCTGTTGGTGTATCAGTATTATCTATTTGAAGTGGCAGCAGTTCTCCAGGGCCTCAGGGTCTCTGCTACCTATTAGATGGAGATGGCTGGAATTTGTACCTGGGACCTTCTGCATGCAGAGCCGATGGTCTGCCACCAAGCTATTTTATGCTCTGGAGACCTTTCTCACAGCCCTACCCTTGTTTCACCTTTACTGTCTGGCCGGGGAGGCTAGTTTCTTCCTTTCCTCTGCTTGTGTCCTTGGGAGCATTGGCTCTTGGACATGTTCCTCTAAGCATCTCAGTATACAAGCTGAGGAGTCCTGATTGGTCTGCAATATCTGACATATGTATTTTAAAAACTTACTCTTAGGCAGGTAGTCACGTTCATCTGCAGTAGAAGAGCAACACTCGAGTCCAGTAACACATTAAACATCAACAGGATTTCCAGGGTATGAGCTTTTGCGAGTCAAAAATCCCTTAATCAGAGATCTAATATTAATCATCATATATTCATCAGACATCTGATGAAGTAAGCTTTGACTCTGGAAAAGCTTACACCTTGGAAATCCAGTTGGCCTTTAAGGTGTGACCGGACTCAAGTCTTGCTCTTTTAAACACATACAATTGCTTGCACTTTGCGTGGTTGCTGCAGAGAATGCCGCTGTTTGTTGTTAATGACATTTTTAATCCACCTTTCCCTTTAAAAAAAGACTCCGTTCAGGTTACAGTGGGATTGCAGTTACAGTGTTGTAATGCTGATGTACCTGCAAAAAACATGACTGTAAGTTGTTTGGAGCCTCTCTGATGTATCAGATGCCACGATGCAAAGATTTCTAGGCAGAGTCAAGTTTTCAAAGGGATGTCAGTAATACTCAAAGGAGGAATACTTTACACTAAACATGAGTTTTCTTATCCCCATTTTAGCTGAGAAACTATATCTATAAAGCTGGTTGTAAGAATCCATATCACAAAGTAACTGGGAAAGCATAAGCTCATTTTGGTTTTACTGGCCTAGGCCAGCTGCAACATTGCAGTGGCAGTGATTTCTCCATCCTCCAACTGATTCTCTTAGAAGAAACATTATTGGCTCCTCTCCATCTCCCCCCCCCCCCCCCCCCCCCCGCAGTGCCTTGCTGTGCTGACAAGATCCTAGTGCCTGCCCAGGTATCCTCCTGCGACACCTATGAGATGGGAGAATCCTTACATGATGCTGTTCAACAAGCTTGGCCTGAGTATAGATGTTCATGTGCAGCAATACCTGAATGTGTTGTACTAACGCTAATTCTGTGATTTGCAGATTGTGAGAAGATATAGTGACTTTGACTTGCTGAATAATAGTTTGCAGGTAAGAAGTCTCCCCCCCCCCCTTCTGACAATACAAAATTCTATTCTGAGTATTTATGTTTTTCTAAAGGAGCTTTTGCATGAGACAATGAAAAGGCAAATAATTCAGTCAACTGGCTCTTAGTTTCTCTGCTCTTTATCTTATTTACTGTTGTTTTGCGTGTACGCCTTCTGCTTTCATAGTTATTGTTTAGATTTTACAGCCAATCTGGATTTATTATTGCAATTTTGCTTTAGTCCGCAAGCCATTTAGAAGTTTTTTTAAAATAGAAAGGCAGCATAGCCATACTTCAAGTAAAGGACAGTAAAAAGACTTGGAAGGAAAAGCAGGGTTCCTAATTTATTTTTGATTGCTTAAAATATCTGTAAGCCCACCTTTCTCCCACTACACTGAGAAAATTCAAAATGCCAAAGTATCAGGTTATTCTTCTGGAAGAAGAACCCTTGTTTTGTGTATGTTTTTATGGAGAGCAGCTGAAAAGATGAATGTGGGAGAGTGGCAAATGTATACACTTGTCTAGCGATGGCATAACTTGATTCATCTTTTTTGGGTTCAAATGCCTTCTTTTCTTTTTCCCCCTTAGAAAAGCCAAAGTCATATTGATCTTTTTAAATGGAGGCCCAAGCTGCAGTGTGTGTCTATTTCTAAAACCACTTTCTAGTGCTCTTCATTGTGTGATGCATTTTTCTGTCGCTAGGTAATGTTTCTTTGTGGCTTTTTGCCTAAACACTGCAGCTTCTGTTTATTTGTGCTCTTTCAAAGACATTCATTTCTCTTTAGCCTGGGTCAGAAAAATGCAGGGAAGGGGCTGTATGATAAAGAAAAGCTCGGTGCTCGCAAAGAGAAAAGGGAACTGAGTCCTTGCAGAGTTTCTTCAGAATTTATTTCGACAGGCCCTTTTGAACCTCCTCATACTCTTGTCTGATGCAGACTACATAAGAACTGTGTCTTGAATGTGGCCTCTCTCAGGCTGATGTAGATATATTGTACTGCCCTCCATGTGTGCACTCTGTTAAAGGCACAGACCAATAGAGTGTTAAAGATGGGTAGATTCCTGTTTAGGGCATCTTAATGAGCTGTAATAGCAAACAGCCTTGGCATTTTTTTCTGCATTGTCATCAACAAATGATTTATCTCAAATGTGCTGCCTCCTGGGCTTCCTCTGTTGCCCTTAAGTTCAAGGATCCTGTATCCGCTTTCCCAATAGCTGTGCTGACTTGCATGTCCCCGTCATGTTTAACATGGCATGATTCATCTGGCTTTCTGGAAGAAGGCTTTGCATAATGATAGTGCTCTGGTGTTATCTGCTCAGGCTGCATTAAGAAAAGGCCTGGGGTGGGACATTTAGTGATGGCTGTCAAGTCTTGTGTGGTATGGAAATTGTATATCCCCTCCCCCCAATTCATGTTTTTTAATGGATATCCCGAAAAGTGGCCAACCTTGTCTGGTGCAGGTCGAGGCTGACCTGGAATTTGTAAGCGCAGCAGAATTGTTCCCCTGGGGCAACAGGAAACTTGGTTGGCTGATCTATACTCTGATTGGGGCAGAAGGATATTAAATCACTTTTTGGGAGAAATGAATGAGTTCAGCATGCGGTTTTCTAGAAACAACATCTCCCAGTGTGACGGAAGAGGCTATTCTGCTGTAGTTACAAATGCCATGAACTTCCCTTCCTGTTTCCTCTATATGGACTGAGAATACATTTTCCGGAAAAGAAAAACAATGAACTTTTTCAGAGGAATGAAACGGCAGCATTATCTTCCCCCTCCCCCAAACCATCTTACATGATGCAGCAACTTTCGGACAATTCTGACTTTTCTAAAGTGCTAATTATGTGTGATTTTTTTTAAAAATGCAGCTTAAGATATCTCCTCACCCTACCCTAAATATTAGAACTGGGTTATCTGCTGGAATGATGTTAAATCACCACTGTCTGCATCTCACTGGGATGGTATAGACAGAATTTCTCAGTGGTGTTCCAGATACTGGGCTGATTGCCTCTAGTGGCATGAGTTAAAATTGGAGAATGGAGGGTGTTCTCAGTTTTCATGATGCTGCTGGCCTGGAGATGTGAAGGCCCAGAAAAATTCATTAGGGACCCCCCCCCCCCTTCACTTTTTCTTTCTTTCTGAGGACTTTTTCCCCCCAAAGGAAAACTGGAAATGTTAAATAACATTGGAGGGGAAACACTATGAAATATTTTCTTTCAGAATGAAATACGTTTGAGATAGAGTTTTACTTCTCAAACACTTTCTGTGTGGTAAGAAGGGTTTTAAGGTAATTCCTGTGTGAACTATAGGTATGTACAGCTCTCAGATCCAAGATGTATTTCTGCTCCTAGAGTTTGCCATCATTTTCATTTTATTTGCTTAGATGCTTATTCCCCACTTGTCTCCTCAGGGAGGACCCAAAGTGGCTTATGACATCATTCTCCGTCATTTTATCCTCACAACAATCCTGTGAGGTAGCTTAAGCTGAGAGAGGAGGAGTGACTGATGGAGGTCATCCAGTGAGCATCTATGGCAGAGTGGGCATGTGAACTTGGGAAGATGACCTGTTGTAACCACGAACACCACTAGAACTGAGTCCAGTAGCACCTTGGAGACCAACAAGATTTTCGGAGCTTTCGAGAGCCAAATTGCCCTTCGTCAGACACAGGTTGGTATGGAGAATTCTGAGTCCTCCGTTCCAACTCTTCAGTCCAAATCTCCATTCCAACTCAGATCTGACCGAGGGCGCTTTTGACTCTCAAAAGCTTGGCCCAAAAATCTTGTGGGTCTCTAAGGTGCTGCAGAGCTCGAATCTAGCTGTTTTACTGCAAACCAACAGGGCTACCCTCTGAAACATTAACACCACTCTGGTCCCACTCACAAGAGGAGCATTCTGGGCTTCTTTACTTGTGTATTGCTGCTTTCATTGTTCTTCAGTAGGACCAGATTTCTGAAGCTTGTTCTGGTGATATAAAACAGCACCAGCATACTGGGCCATCTCAAGCTACTGGGCCATCTCAAGTGCCTGCTTCCTGTGTTGCCTGGCAGTGTGTGGGGAGGGGCATGAAGGGAAGTGCCTTGGGTCCTGTCTTCTGAGAGCCAGTTTGGTGTAGTGGTTAAGTGTGCGGACTCTAATCTGGGAGAACCGGGTTTGATTCCCCACTCCTCCACTTGCACCTGCTGATGTGACCTTGGGTCAGTCACAAGCTCTGGCACAGCTGTCCTTGAAAAAGAGCCGTTTGTGTCAGAGCTCTCTCAGCCCCACCCACCTCACAGGGTGTCTGTTGTGGGGAGAGGAAGAGAAAGGAGTTTGTGAGCCGCTCTGAGACTCCCTTCAGTAGTGAAGGGCGGGGTATAAATCCAATCTCTTGTTCTCATGGTTTATGATTGGTGGTAGTGCCTGTCACCCCATGAAAGGTGTATATATGCCTGTTTCCTTTTGGATTATTTGTGGTCCAGGCATGTAGACCCCCTGCCTTGGGATTTGGACTTCCTTTCAGACCTCTTCTCTCCCCCCCCCCCCCCCCCGCCTCACTCCCCCTCACACACACACACACACATTTTAGCTCTTGGCCTCTCACTGGTCCTGTTGAGTGGGAAAGCTTGCTCTTTGTTGGAGTACTTGGAGTGACTGGCTCTTCAGTGGCCTTCCATTATTGGGTATTATTAGTTGAATCGGTAGTCCTCCAACATTCATTATACCCCCAATAAACTTGCTTCTAGTTTTGCTCCGTCTGTAATCAACATGTTCTGAGCCAGTTTGGTGTAGTGGTTAAATGCACAGACTCTAATCTGGGAGAACCGGGTTTGATTCCCCACTCCTCCACTTGCACCTGCTGGATGACCTTGGGCAAGCCATAGTTCTGGCACAGCTGTTCTTGAAGAAGAGCAGTTTCTGTCAGAGCTCTCTCAGCCCCACCCACCTCACAGGGTGTCTCTTGTGGGGAGGGGAAGGGAAAGGAGATTGTAAGCCGCTTTGAGACTCCCTTGGGTAGTGAAGGGCGGGGTATAAATCCAATCTCCTCCTCCTCTTCCTCTTCCTCCTCCTCTTCCTTGCTTGTGGAGGTGCCCTGATCCTTGGTCAAATGTTTCTTATAGGCATTTCTGTGTGTCATTGCCTAGATCGGGTACATTCTTTGAAGCCAGGGCTTCATCCACACATGGTTGGATATTGTATTGTCATTGTGTTATAGAAATAATTTTTAACTCAGTTGCCTTGTCCACACAAGATACAAAGAACTGCTGTATCACAGTATCCCTCCATGTGTGGATGCAGCCGGGTAGTAGAACCTGAGCCAGCAGCTCTTGTTAATACAGAATTGAGAAGTGGTGGAAGAAGTGGGTTCTGCCTTCTGCTCAGTCTGTTGACCATGGATTTTGGGGCTGTGATTGGAGAATAGGCCATATTCACACTGACATGATGTGTCTTCCTGGCCACATCATATAAAGGTCTTTTAGGGAAGAGGACTGTTTATAGAGTAGGTTGGTAGATTATACCAGCTGACTTACGATGTTACAGGAATGTGGGCTTTGTGCCAGTTTGGGTACAGAACCTGAAGCCTGGCTGAGTTAAAATCTTTAGTCCTGATTACATCTTCGACAAGAGGCAGCTTGTCCTTTGTGGTAGCAGCTGAGGAGTTTGTTTCTGGAGGCGCTAGGCGTGAATCTGGTTGGTTGTGTGGTGCTCTTTTGTGTTTCCCTCCTGTAACAATGTGTGCAGTGACAGCTTCAGAGGGGTTATAAATACCAAGTTCTGCTATGTTTGTTGGAGGTGATTTGTTTTCTTGTAGTTTATTTAAACAAATAGGAGTGCGGAAGCAGTTTGCTGAGATGATGAAGCTTTGGCCATCAGTTGTTTCACTGAACTATTAGCTAGTTTGAGATCTGAGGCAAGAAAGTATTTTCCATTTCCAGTGACTTTATTGACTTTCTTTATCAAAGTGACAATTGTGGGTGAGCTGTTTCCTTTCTCTATAACAGAAGTTTCCCCAAAACCTGCACCATGATTATCAAAGTGTGTTTTCAGCAGTTTTCAGTGTTCACAATGAAGTGGGTGGGTGGTGGTGGTGGTGGGGAAAACGAGTAATACATTTTGGGGGTATTTATGGCCATTAACAGTGACGTAAATTTTCTGTGATTGGCCTCTTTCTCATAACCCAGCTTTTCCTCTCTGAATTGCCTTTTTTTGGATGAATTTAGAGCATTTCAAAAGTATTACCTTTCAAGAAGGTTTGGGTGCTTGTCTCTGGTCCTCCTATAATTGAAGCAAGGTTCCTGATAACCCCGTGTTTTGAAATCAAAAAGCTCAACCTTTCTTTCAGGCTTTTAAAAAGAGATGTAAGCATTGCTAGGTAGGACATGAACTCCTATGTTTGTTTTTTATAGATGCCAAGGGGAGATGTGCACCTTTGATTGCAGGCTGATAGTGCTTTAGCCAGTGAGAGACAATGCTTTGTAAGCAATTTAGAGCATCCTGCGTGCTCTGGATGTTCTGCTTCCGGCCTCATGTTTCAGTCCCGTTATGGCAGAGTCCAATGATTAGAGTCTCTGCTTTGCTTACTGTGAGAAAGTTCAAATACTGTTGGCTTTTTTTGTTTTTCTTCCCTTAAATGTGGTCTGATTACACAGTATTTGTAAAAATGTGTATCCAGCAAGAGCAGATTGGCCATTAAGCCAACCAAGAAGATTCTTGGTAGGTCAGTGGCCTGTGGGGGGCATCCCTCTGCTGGAGACTCCCCAGCCCAAAGAAGAGGGATGGGCACAAGTCTCCACTGAGCCAAAATCACAGAAAAGGAGGCTGCTCAGCTCAGACTCACTTTGCCCAGCGTAGGATCAGCCCTGGTCTCACTGCGGCCGGTGGCATAGCCAGGCATGTCTTCGTGGTTGGGTGGGCATGTCTGCCCTCCCCTTTTGGGTGGTGGGACAAAGGTGAGCTGGGGATGGGGCCCTTTTCTAGGGCCATTTCCCCCTCCCCAATCCACCTGGGTATTCAAGTACTAACCTTTTCCTGGAGGCAAAAGCACCTGGAAGGGGTGATTTGAAGCTGAGAAAGTCTGGGCAAAGAATGGATTAAGAACCTCATTCTCTGACTGGTTCTTTACTCCAAAGCGGCTGCTTTCCCCCCTCTTCCTTCCCCTACCCCAGCATTGGGGCTGCAATAGGTGCACTTGTCTGTAATTTGTAACTGGCTCCTTATAGAGGCTTGTGAGGATGTGACTTGGGACCCCCTGCCCCTATACGCAGTATGTGTAATGAGAATGGTCTGTATTATATCTTATGGACATGGTTATCTGTGCCAGGAGCAAAAGCCGAATTTGATAATGAACTGAGGCCAATTGCCATGACAGTTCCTTCGTCAATGCATTTGCAAATGGCAGCTTTTGCGTATGAACCTACCATGATGTTAGAAGCCACAGTTCTTATGTATCAAATCCATGCTTCTGAGGTAGTAAGTCCATACCCCAAAGTAAGTTTGTTTATTTATTTATTATCAAATTTATACCCCGCCCTCCCCGCAAAGCGGGCTCATTGCGGCTTCCATAAAAGCATAAATACATTAAAATTACACAAATATTTAACCACACAAATAAAACAATATAAATACAAAGTGCTGGCGGCAGTTAAAATTAACCTAGATGGTATATTGTCAGAGTAAATTTCCACTGCCCAGATGTTCCACGGTGTTTCTGCTCATAATCAGTTGGATGTTAAAACCACAGACCAGAGCTCTGCAGTGGCAGCCTGCAGTAGCGGTGGCCCCTAATTAAATGCCTGGCAGAAGAGCTCCGTCTTGCAGGCCCTGCGGAACTGCAAAAGGTCCCGCAGGGCCCTGATCTTCTCCGGGAGCTCGTTCCACCAGGTAGGGGCTGCCACTGAAAAGGCTCCGGCCCTGGTATTAGCTAGCTTGGCCTCCCTCGGGCCAGGGAGGGTCAGCTAATTTTGAGACCCAGACCGTAGTGCTCCCTGGGGTATATACGGGGAAAGGCGGTCCTGTAGGTATGTCAAACCCTGGCCATATAGGGCTTTAAAGGTAAGAACCAGCACCTTGAAGCGGATTCGGTACGCTATTGGCAGCCAGTGCAGTGTCCTCAGCACAGGCTGGATGTGCTCCTATCTAGGGAGACCCATCAACAGCCTGGCTGCGGCATTCTGCACCAGCTGCAGCTTCCAGATCCGCGACAAGGGCAGCCCCATGTAGAGAGCGTTACAGTAGTCTACTCTCGAGGTAACCATCGCATGGATCACTGTGGCCAGGTCAGTGCGGTCAAGGAAGGGAACCAACTGCCTAATCAGCCTAAGGTGGTAAAAGGCCAACTTAGTAGTGGCCGCTACCTGGGCCTCCATGGTAAGGGCCTCCTACTGCAGTTCCAAAGGCCCCCTGAAGGGCTGCTCTTGGGGAACCATGCAGGGGAGTCAAGTCTGCAGTGAGAGGAGGGAAATTAGTAACAGCCCACCCCCAGCAAATCCTAACCCGGATACAACCTGGATAGATTGTCATATTTGCCAAGCAAGTGTTACCAAATTTTTTAAAAGTAGTTTGTAATTCACATGTGCTATGCTGATGATTAACACTGGACCTTGTCTAAATTTTTTTTTAAGATTTCTGCCCTTAGTCTACCTCTTCCTCCCAAAAAGTTGATTGGAAATATGGATCGTGAATTCATAGCTGAAAGGCAGAAAGGACTCCAGAATTATCTCAGTGTGATTACTTCCAACCACATACTGTCCAACTGTGAACCGGTGAAGAAATTTTTGGATCCAAACAGCTACTCTGTAAATTATGTTGGTAAGTAAAAGACTTTGAGATTCCTGTATTGTCCTTGAAGATAAAGCAGACTGTTGAAGGGTGCAGGTGGTGTGGGTGGGGAGACCTTTATCCTGGACCTTGGAATGGAGGAACAGCTTGACTTTATTACACGACCACATCTCATTATTTTGAGAAGGAATTCTAAAGAGAGGACTTCACGTGCTTAAATGGCTTCTGTCTGTGCATCCTCTGCTGAAGAGGTGGGAATAAAGGGGTTGAGGGCGGCTGAAATTACTCTCATAGTCTGCACAGCCCAGCGCCCGGTTACTTACTCTTGACTGAAATAGGCAAAAATGGGTTGTAGCCAGTGTTCCCTCTAAGCTGAGTTAGTGTGAGCTAGCTCACAGTTTTTTTAGCCTCCGGCTCACGCATTTTTGCCTTCGCTCAGGAAGGATGGCTCCAGAGTGAACTAATTTATGCAGGAGCCAAATGGCTCACTCACAACTTTAATGCCAGTCGCTCACAAAGTAGAATTTTTGCTCACAAGACTCCACAGCTTAGAGGGAGTCTTGTAGCTACAGAGGGTGAGGGCATTAAGGCCGGCCAGCCATTGGTCAGAGAGGTATGTTACAACATTGGCTGTCAATGTCTTCTGAGTGTGGAAGAGGGGGAACTTGGAAATGCTACGTGACTCAGGCTGTAATAACTTTTAAAGGAAGTACATGAAAATGATGGCGTATTTAAAACAGAATTCAAAACAAAGCCTAAAAGACCTCTGCTGGGAGACCCTGGAGAGCTGCGTCCAGTCTGAGTAAACAGTACTGACCTTGATGGAGTGATGGTCTGATTCAGGATAAGGCAGCTTCTTGTCTGTTCGTGTATGTCCAGTGTCATACCTTGTGTTGGTCCTAGTGGAAGTCAAAATTCAGACAATAAAACCATCAGCCTTGTAAGCAGGAGGTGTACTTTGGTCCAATGTTCCCTCTAAGCTATGGAGCCCTGTGAGCAAAAATTCTACTTTGTGAGCTACTGGCATTAACGTTGTGAGCAGGAGATTTGACTGCTGCATAAATTAGTTTGCTCTGGAGCCCTCCTTCCTGAGCTAAGACAAAAATGTGTGAGCCGGAGGTTAAAAAACTGAGCTAGCTCACACTAACTCAGCTTAGAGGGAACACTGCTTAGGTCCCTTTCCCTGTCGAGAGAAGGCTAAGACTGCCCAGCCCTGACCTGGATAGCCCAGGCTAGCCCAGTCTCATCAGATCTTGGAAGCTAAGCAGGGATCATCCTGGTTGGCATATGGATGAGAGACCTCCAAGGAAATCCAGAGCCTTATGAACCAAGTCAGATAATATGGTGTTAGTTGCATTCCTCCCCACCCCAGCCATAATTAGGGTCAGTGTATTGTTCAAACTGACCTGAAGACCAGGGGAAACCAAATGTTAAGACACAGGCAGGGAATGTAGGACCATCAAGAGGGAAAGTCCAACCTCTTGCTGTGACAGCAATTTTCTCTTATCCAGAGCTCATGCACATTGAAAACCTTGGCAGAAATACTGCAAGGCCATTTTATTTGCCTTGACTGTTCATGGGATACAGACTGCAGGCTTCTTTCGGTGGAGGGGGTTTATTTGGCTAGTTTTAAATTATAATATTTTAATTGTGACTTGTGGAGCACCTTGAGCCACGTCGCAAAGTTGGATAGAGGACGCCAAACTTCTTAACTCCCGAGACTGTCTGTATTAAATTAATGTGTTATAATTTCCACGGCGATGGTTCGCAGTGCAGCCTTTGTGCTCAAGCAGATGTCTAACTGCTGCTGTGTGGAATGAAATTAAATCGGGGGGGGGGGGGGGAGCACATGGTAACAGTTGTCCTGGTTCTGGCATCACACAGAGGCGCTAACAAATGCCGCCAATGTGTTTGTAAAGAACTCAAAATTCAGAGACTTTGCTTGACTCTGAACATAGCAGAGGCTGCAACAGAGCTCAGGAACTAACCAGCAGTTGCTGTTCTTCAGTAAACTGAACCTGGATCTCTCTTCTGTTAACGTTGAGGCGCTTTTGTGGGGGTATTCCGTTTCTTCAAAGATTTGCTCAACCAAGCGAAGTGTTCTTATATCACGAGTGAGTCCCATTTCCTGAGATACTATACCTCATTTGGCTCCCACCTTCTGTGGGAGCTTATGAGCTCCAGGCTCTCATAGCTTCTTGAATTTCTCGATTAATTAGACAGGCTCTCTCAGCCCCCTCCCCCTCTCCTCTTATCTGGGAGAATGTTAAAGAAAAGCCTAAAGAGAACCCTTCTGTGTGTTTGAAATCTAACCTAATGAGACGAAAAGTTGTTGGTTCTGCATTTAGACCCGCCAGCAACTGGAAATGAGCTGCTGTTTTCCTTGTTAAGCTGATGTGTTTAAACATTTCGTGGTTCAAGGTCTTCTCTCCTGCAGCGTGCTGCTTTCATCCTTGGAGATGAAACACCTGAACGCAGCGGGATGACGTGAGAAAAGAATGTCGTGGCCAGTGTTTGAAATTCCTGGCTTCTCTTTCTGCCTACTGTGAGGCAGCTTTCAGTGTTGATTCATGGAAGAGTTCTTTCCCCCCCCAGAACAAAGCATACTTTAGGCGCACAGCCAGTTTTCATGTGTTTGTGCATATGTTAAAGGAAAGTTAATAAGCAGAAACTAGCAGTTGGTAGTAATAATAATAATAATAATCAGTCAGTTGACAGAGAGGGTGATTTGATTGCAGAACTACAGCACACACGGCTCTTGTTTCAATGGGTTAAAATTGATTTATTCATCTACTTCGTTCATACCCCGCCTTTCTCCCTAATGAGGGGCCATAGGGGCTTACATTGTTTTCTTTGCCTCCCATTTTATTCTCGTAACAGCCATGTGAGGTAGGTGAGGCTAAGAGTATGTGACTGACCCAGGGTCACCTAGCAAATCTCCATGGCAGAGTGGAGATTCGAACCTAGGTCTCCCAGATTCTTGTCTGACACTCGAACCACTATAACACAAAACAAACCAGTCTTTGTCCTCTACAGGTACATGGAGGCCTTTGTCCTGTAATTGTCCCTCACCCACCACTGCAGACAGCTTGACTAAGGGCCATCAGGTGAACCCACAAGAGCTGTGAAGTTGGCATGGCTCTTTTGTTTACTGGTGGGCAAGTTTGAGGGGGAAAGGAGGTTGCTTTTTCCCAGGGTGCTTCTTCGGTAGCACATCAGAGTTCATACTTTGGTTCCTTGTCATGTATATGCCTTGTTCTATAGATTTAGTGGCAAACCTCACTTTGTTCTCTTTTTAGGGTTATTTTTGTGCATGCCTGGAAGTCATGGCTGACTTCTGGTAGCCCCTAGTGGGGCTTGGTGGCAAGGGATGTTCAGAGAGGTGGCTTGCTATTGCCTGCCTTCGCGTCCTGGCCCTGGTATTCCTTGGAGGTCTCCCATCCAAGTACTTGCTAGGGCTGGCCCCACTTAGCTTCCGAGATCTGGCTTGCCTGGGGTATTCAGGTCAGGGCAACCTCATTTTTTTCTTGTAATTCATATTACTCTTCATTTCAAGCAATATATACATATATATACTTTATACTATCCTATGTTTGACTGGATTGGGGAAAAAACCTTGTGATGGCATCTTACATATGAAGTGTAATTATTAATGTTTGTGTAACTAACAAAAGTTTCCCCAAATTTCCTCTTATAGAAATTGCCTTACAGCATGTTTCGATGTTCTTTCGGTCGGAGCCAAAGTGGGAAGTAGTAGAGCCATTAAAGGATATAGGTAAGAGTTTAACTTGTTTTTAGATCTGGGAGGATTTTATTTATTTATTTATTTAATTCAATTTATACCCCGCCTTCCCCGCAATGCGGACTCAGGGTGGCTTACATAGGGGCAAACGCCAATATAAAACATAATTAAAACCATTTAAAATCCAACAGTACAAAACATTCATAACGAGTTACTGACTAAAGTGCTCTAGGTGTTCTACATGAAATTTCAGAGATGGCATATTTGAACTGTTCAGCATCGTCTGCTCCAGGGAAGCATTGATGTTCCCTCATCCAGGGCCAGGTGAAGATGGAATAATGATGATGGTAGTGGCGGCTCCTACTCATACGCCTGGTGGAAGAGCTCCATCTTACAGGCCCTGCGGAACTGCACAAGGTCCCGCAGGGCCCGGATCTCCTCTGGGAGCTCGTTCCACCAGATAGGAGCCGCCACCGAGAAAGCCCTGGCCCTGGTAGCGGCCAGCCTGGCCTCTTTGGGACCTGGCACTGCCAGGAGATGTTGGGTCCCGGACCGAAGTATGATTTATGCCACACTTTATCAGTGAAACAAATATTTACATTTGGTTGTAAGGGAAAAAAACCCTTCTTTAGTCATTTGGGGAAAATATTGACCATCCAGCTCTGAACTAACAATGACTCTTCGGAACCTTTGAAGAAGATCGGTTCCAGATTTCTATCTTGAGGTGCTTGTAAGTGGAAATGTCAAGGGTTGAACTTTGGCTCTTCTAGGTGAGTTTGAGCCCGTCACATGCTCTCAGCCTAACCTACCTCACAGGGTTGTTGTGAGAATAAAAATGGGGGAGGGGAGGAACTAACATATACTACACTCCTTGGAGGAGTTATGGGATGAGAGCTAGTGTGGTTAGAGTGCTAGAGTGTGACCAGGGATACCTGGGTTCAAATCCCTGCTCTACCAACTTGGCAGCCTTGGGCCTAACCTATGTCACAGGGTTGTTGTGAAGATAAAATGGAGGAGAGGAGACTCACGTATGCCACCCTGAACTCCTTGGATGAAGGGTGGAATGAAAATGTAATAGAAGATGATGTTTTAATTCATAATAGAAGTATCAAAATCTTAACTTTCCTATAGAAATCCCCTTCTTGTTTGTTTGAGGAAGCAGAGTGATGACATAAACAACTGAGCTGAATTGCATTGAAATGAAATGGCAGGTTGCTGCAGGGGAATTTAGATCAGGTAGCACACCCTTGATGGCCTAAGTATTTGAGTCTGGTCTATGTAAAAAATGAAAACTGGTATGGTTTCCTGAGCAGTACAATGCAAACTGTTGGGGTGTTTGCCTTCTTTCTAGGTTGGAGAATACGTAAGAAATATTTCTTAATGAAGATTAAGAATCAACCAAAGGAGCGGCTAGCTTTGAGCTGGGTAAGTTTCCTTTTTTGGGGTGTCTGTGTGTTTGTGTGTATCCTTTTCAAAACTGTCTCATGGTTCATCAGTATTTTCTTGAGTGTGTGTTGGTCCCTAGCTATATATCCTCAGTCACTTTTTGTAAGCACTGCCCATTATTCTGCGGTGATGCTATGTGAATTTCCTGTCATAAACTAGTAGAGAGGAACAGAGTGAGGGCAAGCTATCTTATGTGACACCCAATGGATGTATCCTACCAGTGTTCTGCTGACAGAAGGGTGATCCCAGCTGATTCCCCGCCCCCCAAGTCTCATGATTTTGTCTGTGGTGATTCCCTGGCAGTGCCTTTTCAGACGCCACAGGAGGCTGCTGGGAGAAGGGGAAGGTGGGGGAAAGATCAACTTCTGCCAGCAGAATATCTGTAGGACATAAAAAAGGTAAAGGTTCCCTTGCTCGAAAGCCAGTCGAATCCGACTTTAGGGTTGCGGTGCTCATCTCCGTTTCAAAGCCGAAGAGCCAGCGCTGTCCGAAGATGTTTCCCTGGTCATGTGGCCGGCATGGCTAAACACCAAGGCGCACGGAACACTGTTACCTTCCCACCGAAGTGGTACCTATTTATCTACTTGCAATTTCTTGCTTTCGAACTGCTAGGTTGGCAGGAGCTGGTACTAGAGATGGGAGCTCACTCCATCATGCGGCCCCCGGGTCTCGAACTGCTGAACTACTGACCTTCCACAGCCTGCAGTTGAGTGTCTTAACCACTTGAGCCACCGCAGCTCCTCTGTAGGACATAACCAGTGCGTAAATAGCACAGCATATGGATCCCTGAAAACTGTCAAACTGGAAGTCAGTTGGGTGTTGTGTCACTTCTGCTTGAGGAGTGGTATAGGTGATGAGTTTTGGAGGAAGGCTTTGGAATGTATGACAGAGGTATGTTTTGTGCCTCTCAGAAGTCGATTTATGGTCACCTCAGCAATTTTTCCCTTTATAGCTTATAATCAACTTGATAACTTGTCTTTTCAGGCTGACCTTGGCCCTGACAAATATCTTTCAGACAAAGATCTTCAGTGTGCTGTGAAATTTCTTTCTTCATGTTCTGTGAGTATTTTGTTACACTACCCCTCCCCTAACACCAATACCATCTCACCAGCACCAAATTAGAGCGTATAAAAGCTCCTTTTCAGATTTTCCTCTTTTGATTTCAAAGATTGGCTCTCAAGACATTCATGTGTTGGGCTCAAATGAATGTGAACTTAGACCATTTCCACAGAAGTGCAAATGCCTGCATCGCCATTCTTAGACAATTGAACTACACAAAACTTTCCGCAATACATTTTGCCTCCCCAGGAGTGGATCTGAACTTTTCACCCTCTTGCCCCATGGTTTCCAAATCCACTGTTTCTGCGACCCCCCCGCCCAATCTGAAATCACTGTTTTCCAGTGAGCAGCTCCTGTATTCAAATGTGTTTTCCTGCTGCGCTGCCATTTTGGGTCATCAGTGTTGTATCTTACCTCTGCCTACCACCCTGGACGCCCTGTTTTCCCCGGAGACATTTGCCATTTTTAACATAAGCAAAGAAAACAACAAACATCTTGATTGAGTTATAACACTAGGACAAATGGGCAGTACAGACATGACTGCTAGTACTCAAAATAAGTGTTCCCCATGATCAGTGCTGTGTACAGATAATCTTTGCCTATATGGAAGGCGATTATAAGCTGCATTGAGACTCCTTAGAGGAAAGCAAGTGTATAAAAACCAACTCTCCTTCTTCTATTTGTGGACAATGTAGTCTTTGCTTTTTAAGAGTGTCTTTTTAAAATAAGCATAAATAGTCACACTTCAAACTTGCCAATATTGGATGGCTTTTAATTTTCAATATTTAAACAAAAAGTGAAGGTGTCAGCTGGGGATCACTCCTCCTTGAACTATGAGCAATCAGCCATATACAGATATAAACAGAAAGCAGTATTTTCTCTTTCTGACTAGTTTGGACACTGTAAACCTCCCCATGTGACTGGTTTGCCATAATGTGGCAGTATTTTTGCAGGGTTTTTTTTGTCATGTGGCATTTGATCTTATGAAGAAGTCAATGTTTGGTTTATTGTCCCACAAATGATCAGCAGACCTGAAAAACAGCAACTGTGTTGCCCAGTGTCGTACAGGAGCCAAATGTGTCCTAGCGGAACTGTTATCTTCTTTATCCTTGTAACAAGATAAATTGTAATTCCCATAATTACAGTAATTGAAGGGAATATGCTGCTTGATTGATTCAATCCCAAATGGCTTTCTAGATTAAGTGAGAAGGCAAATAAATCATACTGCTAATGAAGTGAGATGGTAGTTTAAAGTCCTCATGCTAAGCTTATGGTTTATAAGCCTGATAAATCAGGCTTCTGAACAAAAGTGGCCATGCCTTAGTCCAGTTCAGCTTGCAATATCAGCTGTTTAGAACCATTTGGGGCAATTGACCAGATGCTCTTGTGAAAACTCTATGGTTCACATAGCATCAGCTGCTCTTGATGTGTGTGAAGTGTGCTGCTGTTTGCACTCCAAAGAATGCTCCAGATGATCATATGTGCTTCTTATTTGTCACATTTGGAACTGCTGTGGGGAATAGGCAGGCCAGTTTTTGTGCTGATGCCTAACTTGTCGTATCTAGTGCCACTCAGCCTCACCTTGTTATAGGTGGCTGTAACATACCCGTGGTACAGTAGAGCTAGCATTATGCATGCCTTTGTGCTAACGTGATTCTACATTCTGTAACTCTATTAGTGGACAACCCAACTCAATTCTTTTTTCAAAAAAGCTTTCGCTCTCATTTTGCATTAAACTAAAGGCAATGTGTTCTGACCAATTAAGTATAAAACCCTGAACAACTATAAGAATACTAAATAGCTCAATGGCATTCTCCCTGAATAAAACTAAGATTTATTTAGTAAAACATACTCTCAGGTATACAAAAAGAAAATAGCATTTTGTGCGGAACATCTGGTGTATGTTCATCCCACCCAAGCTTACAACAATCCTGTGTGTTTGGGTTTGACCCACTCCAAGCTGCCATTTAATTCTTACATCAGAGGCTGAAACAAGATGTTTTGAAAGCCATGTTATCCCCATCCAAAGCAGAATCCAGGCATCCACTCCTCTTTTCTCCTGAGATGTCCAGTAATCCAGAATGGGTAATTTGATTTTTCTACTTCATTGGCTTTCCATATGCAGTGGAAAAAGGGGGGGGGGGGAGCAATATCCCCTCACTCATGGGGTGTGTGTGTGTGTGAGAGAGAGATAGGAGGTGAGATACAGAGCAGCTGTTTGTGGTAGCTGCCATGTGACTTCAGCATTGTCTAGTCCCAGCTTTGGGCAGAATACAAATCTGGGTTCAAAATACTAGCTACCTTGTGATGGATAGGCTAGGTTGTGCCTCTCTCTAAGAGCAACCACTGAGCGCTGACACAATGTTGAGAGCAGGTGACTTGAAAGCAGCAATAGAAAAATGACAGGGTTTAGCAGCAGAGAGGGAAGCTGATAGCTAAAGGGCTGAGGTGAAAAGGTTTTTTCTGACTGAGGGGAACTGAATAGAAGAGCTGATTGGAACAGGCTGAAAATAGTAAATTTGTAACTAAAAGATCCCAGTTTGTAGGTCTAGGATCTCAGTGCAAAAGTTCAATGGAAGGGAAATGTTTTTTAGATTTTACTTTGCTAAGTGTTTTGTTCTTATAAACAAAAGCTTCTTGTTTTGATTAACCCTGTGGGCTGCGTGTCTAAGGGGAAGAAGCACACACACAATTTAATATCTTGGTCTACATACATATATTCTAGGATACGAGTGGTGGCACCAAGTGATTGGAATAGTGTTTGAGCCCCAACCCTAATAGCTTTGTGTGAGTGAGGGCTGATTATAAAGGGGGCTTCGCTACCATGTCTGTGGATGTCTCTGGGAGTGAGAGAGAAGACCTGAGGTGTGAGGTGGCCATGACTCTGTAGATTTTAAAAGAGACAAGAAGGGTGGCAATTGTGATGTCCTGATCTTCATATAACCCATAGCCTAAATAAGACAGGTTGTAGTGGGTGGTAGGCACTCTGTGTGTGAGTGGCCAAGGGCCATCACACACCTCCTCAGTGGCCGGTGCAGGGGAGCCTTTGATAATCAGTAGTGTTTCAAGTCTGTGTGGGTGTAGGAGAATCACTTTGGTGTAGTAGCAAAATAATTAAATTTGGATTATTTAGAGAGGGTATAGGAAATAGGCAGAGACTAGCTGTGATTCTTGTTAACGGCCCTGATGGGGAAAAGTACAATGTGCGTTAAAATGGGAATAAAAGTGTAAAATGCTATGTGTTTCAACATTTATCCTTCCTGGAATGGAAAGTTCACATTTTGACCTGCAGTGTTTAGTTAACAACCACATCAGCTGTAGGCCACAGTGGGAACCCTTGAACCTTAGCCAGTTTTTCATATTAAGGGGTGTGGTCAGATTGCGTGCTGGGAGCAGGTTAAACTGCTCCGGTTCTAACCGGATTATATTTGATCTGGATAATCGCGATCACACTTAACTCCCTTATCCCGCCTCACCGTGCAGTCACATCGCTCCCCGGCGTCTACATTACTGATGCGTGGGAGTGTGTGTCGGCATTTTAAAAAATTTTTCCTCAGTTTGCGCATGCACATAGGCATGCTTTCGAGCGGGGAGGGGGTTTAAACCGGAAGTGGCTCGACGCCACAGGAGCAATCAGACGTCAGAAAATGCGGCTAGAACCGGAGAATCAGGAAAACACCACTTGGGGACCTGGTAACAAAATACTCCGTTTTCAAAGGGGTTTGAGCCGGAAAGCGACGGCTGGGGACGGTGCGCAGATGTTGGGTGTGTGAACGTGGATATAAAATCCGTTACTGAAGCGTGCCGAAAGCGGACTAAATGGCCCAACTGAACGCACCCAAGGAGTGCTTTAAAAAAACCCTTTAAATAGTCAACATTAGTATACATTTACACTTATTTCAACATTTGTGACAGCTCCTTAATGCTACGGAGTTAACGAGTCGACCTAATCTTGGTTTACTAAAGGTCTCCGGAATCAAAAATTCACATGATGCTTGGAAACAGTGATCATAATGTTGTTGAGTTCATCATTTGTACAAATAGAGAATTGGCCAAAAAGACTCACACAACCATTTTTAACTTTAAAAGGGGTAATTTCTCTGATATGAGGGGACACGTGGGGAGGAAACTGAAAGGAAAAGTAGAAAGGGTCAAAACAATTGGGGAAGCTTGGGATCTATTTAAAACTACGATCCTAGAAGCTCAAAAAATATATATTCCGCAGGTTAGGAAAGGCACAAAAAGGTATAGGAAAAAGCCTGCATGGTTAACAAACAGAGTAATGGAGGCTGTAAAAAGTAAAAAGAATTCCTTTAAGCAGTGGAAAGCTAGTCACAGTGAGGCTGATAAAACGGAACACAGGCTATGGCAAATAAAATGCAAGTCTGAGGTCAGGCAGGCAAAAAGGGAATATGAGGAGCATATAGCAAAAAACGTAAAAACCAACAATAAAACTTTCTTCAAATACATTAGAAACAGGAAACCAGCCAGGGAGGCAGTGGGGCCCTTGGACGACCAAGGGGTAAAAGGAGTATTGAAGGATGATAGGGAAATGGCTGAGAAGCTAAATGCATTTTTTGCCTCCGTCTTCACTGTGGAAGATGAGAAGTGCTTGCCCACTCCAGAACCACTGATTTCAGGAGGGGTGTTGAAAGACCTGAGTCAGATTGAGGTGACGAGAGAGGAGGTCCTAAAACTGATAGACAACTTAAAAACTGAAAAATCACCAGGCCCAGATGGCATACATCCGAGAGTTCTGAAAGAACTCAAATGTGAACTTGTAGATCTCCTGACAAAGATATGTAATCTTTCCTTAAAATCTGCCTCCATTCCTGAGGATTGGAAGGTAGCTAATGTCACTCCCATCTTTAAAAAGGGTTCCAGAGGAGATCCGGGAAATTACAGGCCAGTCAGTCTGACGTCGATACCGGGTAAATTGGTGGAAACCATTATTAAGGAAAGAATTAGTAGGCACATAGATGAACAAAACCTATTGAGGCAGACTCAGCACGGTTTCTGTAAGGGAAGATCTTGTCTCACTAACCTGTTAGTGTTCTTTGAGGGGGTGAACAAACATGTGGACAAGGGGGATCCAATAGATATTATTTACCTTGACTTCCAGAAAGCTTTTGATAAAGTTCCTCATCAAAGGCTCCTAAGTAAGCTCAAAAATCATGGGATAGAAGGACAAGTCCTTTTATGGATCAAAAACTGGCTAGTTCATAGAAAACAGAGAGTGAGTGTAGGTGGGCAATTTTCTCAGTGGAGGGTGGTAAGCAGTGGGGTACCGCAGGGATCAGTACTTGGTCCACTGCTTTTTAACTTGTTCATTAATGATTTGGAGATGGGAGTAAGCAGTGAAGTGGCTAAATTTGCGGATGATACAAAGTTGTTCAGGGTGGTGAAAACCAGTGAGGATTGTGAGGCACTCCAAGGGGATCTGTCAAGGATGGGCGAGTGGGCGTCAACATGGCAAATGGGGTTCAATGTGGCCAAGTGCAAGGTGATGCACATTGGAGCCAAAAATCCTAAATATAAATACACATTGATGGGGTCTGAACTGGCAGAGACTGAGCAAGAGAGAGATCTTGGAGTTGTAGTGGATAACTCACTGAAAATGTCGAGACAGTGTGTGACTGCAATAAAGAAGGCCAATGCTATGCTGGGGATTATTAGGAAGGGTATTGAAAACAGATCAGCCAATATAATAATGCCCCTATATAAATCAATGGTGAGACCTCATTTGGAATACTGTGTGCAGTTCTGGGCACCACACCTTAAAAAGGATATTATAGCTTTGGAAAAAGTGCAGAAAAGGGCAACTCGAATGATAAAAGGGTTGGAACACTTTCCCTATGAGGAAAGGTTAAAGCGCTTAGGGCTCTTTAGCTTGGAGAAAAGACGACTGAGGGGTGACATGATCGAGGTTTATAAGATTATGCATGGGAAAGAGCAGGTAAAGAAAGAGGTACTTTTCTCCCTTTCTCACAATACAAGAACTCGTGGACACTCCATGAAACTGCAGAGCGGTCGGGTTAGAACGGATAAAAGGAAGTACTTCTTCACCCAAAGAGTGATTAACACATGGAATTCACTGCCACAGGAAGTGGTGGGTGCTACAAGCATGGACGGCTTCAAAAGGGAATTAGATAAGCATATGGAGCAGAGGTCCATCAGTGGCTATTAGCCACAAGGTATAGCTAGGGGCTCTGGGGCAAGTGATGCTCTGTCTTCTTGGTGCTTGGGGGGGGTCAACAGTGGGAGGGCTTCTAATGTCCTGGCCCCACTGCTGGACCTCCTGATGGCACTGGTATTTCTGGCCACTGTGTGACACAGAGTGTTGGACTGGATGGGCCTTTGGCCTGATCCAACATTGGCGTCTCTTATGTTCTTATGTGTTCTAACCTCCTGACTTTTGTTAGGAGTCTTGCCAGCTGAACCTTCCTCATTTGTGTCAGGGCAGGGGGGAACTCATAAATGCATCTGCCTGAGAAGTTTCAAGACAGGTCCAAGTTCTAGAGCACCAGCCTTAATCTTGAACAGAGAGAGAGAGAGAGAGCCCGTGTAAAGTTTTGGAGGGGATGCACCAAGGCAGCTGAACAGCCCCTTGTCTTGGCAATCTCTCCTGCTTTCCGAGGGACGTGTTCAGTAGCCTTCTCTGCCTCAAGCTGCGTGAAGCACAGACACAGCTGTAAAAGGGTGGAAGAAAAGGTTGACATTAAAAATGAGAAAGGGAAAAGTATTTCAGTCAGCTCTTGGTGAGCTGTTCAGCATATAGAACAAAACATAAGTGGGATGAGGGGGAAGCAACATATTAATTTTGTGTGGCAGCAAAAACAAACACCCCCCCCCCACACACACACACACTTTGGGATGACCCTGTTTAAAAAGTAAACACACTGTACTTCTCTCTGGGCTAGGATATTTTACCTGGCCAAACTGGACACTGGGGTAGGTACATGGCCTCAGTCAAAAAAATACCCTTTTCTGTCTAAGCTCCTCCCTCCCATAGAAGCTTGTCTTCTGTTGGGGCATTTTGAGTTCTCATCTGGAACTGAGTGATACCCCTCTTCCTCTCCAGCCCCCACCTCCTTACTCCCTGTAAATTTAAATACAGATTGAAGGAGGACCTTGTTTTTAAGCTCAGATAATAAAACTGGTTTGACTAACGGTTTGGGATCAATGCTTAACTTGCCTAGTGAAAATTTCTGTGTGTTGCTAAGGAAATTGAGCAAAAATTGAGTTTAGTGACACTTTGTAAGGTGTTCATCTCTGGTTGTACATACATGTTTTTGAGAGTAAACCTACATAGGATAGTGCTGCCAGATAATAGGAAAAAAATATCAATGTGTGTATGTCCTTTTTTTTTTACACAGCATCCCTATATTTACAGAGTCACTTTTGCAACAGCTAGTGAATCTTCTGCACTGGTAATTAGACCGTTCAATGAAAAAGGAACGTTAAAGGACCTGATATATAAGGTAGTGTGAGATATCCTCTTGGGACATACTATATAATCTTTAGTATATGTATTAACATTGGCATCAACAAAATATTTTGAGATCGTGGAGTGTATTTGCATTTATTTATTTTCAGTGGGTTGTGGCTAGCTTGGTAGTAACAGTCATTGTGGAAATTTATTTTTTAAAGGCAAAACCAAAAGATCCATTTTTGAAGAAATACTGCAACCCAAAGAAAATTCAAGGTCTTGAACTGCAGCAAATTAAAACATTTGGCAGGCAAATACTAGAGGTAAGGCTTCTTAAACTGTTCAAAATCTGCTTGCAGTCAAAGACAGCCAGTCCTCTTGAAGACATGTTTTATCTCAGCAGCATTTTTTATTTATTTATTTATTCATTTATTCATTCATTCAACTTCTATTCCACACTCCCTGCAAGTGGGCTCAGGGCGAATCGCAACAGCAGTTTTACAAAATCATTAAAACACCATAGTAATTAAATATTTCAAACAATTGAAACCAAAAGGCAGAATAACTTAAGACAGCTCACGGAACAGCTCAGTTGTAATTTTTCCATGCGTGCTAAAAATGAAGTTAAAATGTTTTTAAAAATAAATTTTGCGGAAAAGATCCATGGATAGAGAGAGAGAGAATGTAGAATCATACTTAAATGCATTTTCTGAAAAATATATCCTAGGTGGAAAACTAGTTACTTCCTACCATGTAACCATTACTAGTACCCTCTTGGACATCTGTCTGGGAAAATCTCTCAGTTGAATCAAAGAAAGTGTGAAGCAGCCCCTCAGTGTAATGGTGGACTCCTACAGGCATTTGAAGTATACTGATCACTGTACATAGCCAAAATAGTCTAGAATAGAAGAGGTACATCGTATGGAACAGAAGTAGCTTTTAAGACTGGACTCAACAGGTTCTTTATAACATTGCCTAAACAGGTTGATTATAATATTAGGCAAAATGGAAATGTACTGTTGGACTGGAAAATAAATGGATACTGAGATACTGAGCCCGCTTGCGGGGAGGATGGGGTATAAATCAAAAGACTAAAATAAATAAATAAATAAACTTGCATGAACAGAGCACTTTGCAGGGGGACATCATGCAGGGGAGTGTGGTCACACTCAGACAAGACTTGTACCTGTTATTTGATTGAAAGCCCTAGCTGTGGGAGGGCTGGGAAGCATTTTTGGAAAGGACCCGCATGCATTACCAGGGATGGTCATCTAAGCATGTTTTCTCAGTCAAACTGAAATCCCTCCGCTCGGTCTCTTAGGTCTTAAAGTTCTTGCACGACAAAGGATTTCCATATGGTCACTTACACGCTTCCAATGTAATTTTGGAGGGAGAGACGTGCAGGTTGCTGGACTTGGAGAATTCATTGCTGGGGCTCCCGTCCTTCTATCGGTCCTATTTTACACAGTTCCGTAAAATTAACGTAAGTTGGAGACTATTTGCTTTTCCTTAATGGATATGGATTATAAAAGTGTTACATTGCAGTAGACAAATTGTTTCCCAAAACTTCTAATTACGCTACGATGGAGCAGGAAGAGAACTGGCTAACAAGGCAAAGGTACTCAGCCTTGTAATTGTTTCTAAAACTAGACAGGCTTGTAATTGTTTCTGGGTTTTCTCTGTCTCAAGTGGTTGCATTTTAGAAGACAGAGAAGGAGAAATGGAAGGAAGTAAAACAAGACATGTTTGTGAGGGGATTCTTCCCTGGGAGAAAGAAAGCACAGAGCAATATGTTAATTCTGAAATGCAGTTTCAGAAATGCACTGAAAGGCAGTGCACAGTTGACCTGTCCCGATGAACATTACCTTGAATTATAAAATGTGCAGTTGCCTCTCATTTGTCGAGGGAGATAAAGGTGTCTTTTCCTCAAAAGAAGTGCTTCTGCTGATGAGTAGAATCCAGCAATCCACTGGTGGAAAGCACTGACAGTCACTGGTCTTTCCCACTCCCCTCTCCCCTGGCAGCTCCTTCCAGCTCCTTTTGCTTTGGCATGGCTGTTATTTCACATGACCCCAAATGGCTGCTGTGGGGAGGGGAACATGGGAAATATCCACAGTCCCTGTATCTGTAGATCACTGGATCCAACCCTTTGTTAGGACTGTGTATTGGCTTACCAATGCTGATGCACTAGCAGAAAAAAATATCACAGGATTTGTTACCTACCACCTCCTCCCATATTGCCCAGCCCACCAGTTATAATCTGCCTCACAAGCCCTGCTCTCTGTGCCCACCTCCCCACCTTCAGGGGTAGGACAGGTGGCAACCAGAGACAGGCCTTTTTCAGGAGCGGCCCCTTGCTTATGGGAGGCCCTTCTTGCTTGAGGCTTGCTTGGCTCCTATGTTGTTGTTTTAGGTCACAGGCTGAAAGGTTTCTGTTCAGCCAGGCTTTTAATTAAGGGTTTAATTGTTTAGCACTATTTATGTCTGGAAATTGTTGTTTTAAGCTGTTTGTGGTGTGTTGTAACGATCTGTGTTTTTAAGCTGGGCTTGGGCTTTTTTCAGCACTGTTTTTTAATTAATATCTTTGTTTTTATTGTTTTTGTAAGCCTCCTCAAGCAGGGTCCTGGAGGTCATAAACATGTTCTAAATAAATAAGTTCATCTTCTGTTTCTGTTAAAATCCAGACGTCCCTCTCTGATCAGAGTTCTGCCCTCTTGATAGTGTCAGAGGTTTTCTCTGGCCCTGGACTTCATAGGGCTGCTTGCTTGGTGTAGTTGCAGGCTTTGAGTACAAGCTGTACCAGGCTTTTTACATTTTTGCTGCTTAGCTCATTCGCTGTCACTAGGAACTTTTAAAACATAAGCCGTCAGTGTAGGCATTGTTTTGCGTCTGCTCCTGAACCATGATCCTTCAAACTAGTGAATCTTCTCAATTACATCGATGCGCTAGGAATTATTCATGCTGTGTCTTTTGGCTTAGAGACTCTCCAGTGGGTAGAAGTCATGCAAGCAGAGCATCGATGATGCAAATGGAGGAGGAGTTCACGTGTTACGATGCAGAGCATTCTGCTAAGTGGTTCTGATCATTCCACCCCACCCCACTCTTCTTTGCAGACTTTAGAAGCTGTTGACGTGCACTGCTTTGGTCATTTACTCTATGAAATGACATATGGGAGACCCCCAGACTCTGTTCCGGTGGACAGCTTTCCTCCTGCACCATCCACGTCTGTAGGTCAGTGAACTATGTGGAGTAATATTTCACCTTAACCTGAACATCCTAAAGTCTTCAGCCATTTTATAAATCCTATCTTTGGGTTTAAAAACAAATTCTAGAAGGACAATCCGTGGGGGGGGGGGATATGCCCCTGCCATGATGGCAGCAGCAGGCATCACATGACCAAGTGAAAATGGCATCTATGCGCCCTGTTGCTGCACTGCTTGCTGCTGCTACCCCACCCCCAGCCCTGTCCCTTTCCTCCCATTCTGCCTAAGCAAGAGGACCCCCACTGTTACCCAGAGCCCCCATTTCCCTCCTCCCTTTCCCTACCAAGTTGCAGTGTTGCCATTCACCACTTCAGTAGTGGGGCTTAGCTCTACACTCTCATCCTGTGGTGGGTACAGGTAGACCATTTGGATAGCCGCCCCACAGTTCCCCCCTTGAAACAGACAAGAAAAACAACAGATTGGTTTTCCTGCAGATTAAAGGGGAAAACCCCAAGAACACTATGGCTCATGCTCGTAATGAGCATGATGTCATCCAGACATTCCCCTTTAATTTTGGGGAGCTTCTGGTTTTCTTCCACGAAACAATCCCCGTCTAGCAGTAGCTGAAATTTACCAATTGCCAGCTGTGGACAGATGCAAGCCCCATCAGTGTGAATGCACAGATGATGACCACTTCAAGAACAAAAGTGACATGTAAGGAATATCTTGTTTAAAAAAATCACAACTGCAGGGAGAGAGACTTCATGGTTATTCTCTGCAAAACAAGTGCTGCTACAGAAGGACAGTGACTCTTATACGGAGAAAGGTGGCGGTCTTAGGATGTCTGACCAGCTACTGGGCAATACCTGAAACTGCTCCCTATATGCTCCCCCTTCTCTTTTGCCTGGTAGAGAGCCATCTGCTGCCCTCAATCAAAATAGCACAGAAAGCTGCGTGCCCTTCTCCCGTACTGACTCACAGTGCTTCGGAGCAGTGCAGCAGCACTTTTAATTCCCCCCCTCCCCCAAATAAAATGTGTGCTTCTCAAGAGTCCTTTGCCTTAAAACATACTCTATCCAGAGGTAAATGCAGCATTTGCATCTTGGGTCAAGCGTAATATACCTGTAGCCCCTTGAAGCACATGGCCTTGCACTGCTGTCCTCTTTCTTTGTAGACGCAGACTTTTGCCACAGCAGTACAAACCGGTGCTGAAGGCTCTGCTGTGTTGAAAGATGTGCTGAATGTCGACTCTGCATGTACCAGTCAGTTTAATGCTTCTCTTGCTATCACTGGAAAGGCATTCTCCTTGGAATGCTTCCAAGCTTTTAATGCAGTTATGAAAAGGAGTCGTATTGCCTCTACCTGGAATTGGTGTTCTTTCCCTCAATGTCGCTTATTTCCCTCCCCCCCTCCCCTTTTCCTTTAGTGACTGTACTGGAATCCATTCTTTCTCCTGAAGCCATGAAGAATGGCATGCCAACTGTCTCTCGACTCTTACAAATGCCGTAAGTCCTCATTGGTCGAACTACATCTTCTCTTTACTCCCGGTGCAGACCAAAGTAAAAATGGACTGTGAATGGCACAGAGTCCAGTGTTTGAGCCTCCTCTAGCACAAGCCAGGCCCTGAGTGGTTGCTTGAATCCCAGTCTTGTCGGTGCAGCATCACATGGCAAGTGTGAAGCAGCTCCCTGCTAGACTGCAGTGATTGCTGCAAAAATAGTTAAATTCACAGCAGCTGTTTAACAGAGGTGTCGAACTCATTTGTTACGAGGGCCAGATTTGACATAAATGTCATGTGGGCCATAAAGTGTAATCCAGAGAGATAAACTTTGTAAAGGACACAGGAAAAACTCAATTGACAATATTATTTTTACTCAAAATACAAATGAAAGCAATTGATTCCTAGCAGTGAAAGCAGTTGATTTACTGGGGAGCCCGCAAAAGCCCCAATGTATTTAATCATATGCAAGACCAGGGTTTTTCCAAGGGATACCATAAAAGGGAGGGGGGAGTACCTTATATTTCCATACATACCAGTTGCTTGGGGGCCGGGTAAGAGCCCTGGGCGGGATGGTTCTGGCCCCCGGGCCTTATGTTCGACACCCATGGTTGAGAGAATCACATGCCGTATGGGTTGTAGAAAACGGAATAAGGAACAGTAATGCTTTGCTGTCTAGTTTGGGTAAAAATGTCTCCCACTCTTCCTTCCTTCAGGTTATTCAGTGATGTTCTCCTAACAAATTCAGAAAAAACACAATTTAAGGTACAGTGGGATAATACTGGTCACCAGTTGCTGCCAACGGTGTGTTTGTTCAGTGCTTACCCTATTAGAGTTAAATATATCCCTATACACTTGTCTTATACCAAGTCAGACCCCTTGGTCTGTCAAGCTCAGTAGTGTCAACTCTGGGTGCGTTCAGACGTGCCGTTTGATCTGGTGTTGTGACAGTTCAGCAACGGATTTTATATGCACAATCACACAGTCAACATCTGCCTCCCATCCCCAGCTGTTGGTTTCCGGCTCAAAAGCACTTTAATCCGGAGTCTTTTGTTACCAGGTCCCAAAGTGGTATTTTCTCAGCTCCCCCGTTTAAAGCCGCATTTCCCCCCTGTGTGATCGCTCCTCTGGTGTCAAGCCACTTCTGGTTTAAACCCCCTCCCCGCTCGAAAGCTGCCCGAGGCTTCCACTTTTCGCCCACCATTTTTTTTAGTGTCGGCAGTGCGTGCATAGGCAAAGCTCTGCTACCATGTTTAGAAAACTGACATTTAAACGGTCACTTGTTTTAGAGTTTAGATGAGTTTGGGGTCTCATGGAGGCCATTTTTGGGTCAAACGTTTCAAGGGAAGTCTTTTGTTGGAGGGGTTGGATTGATTCGCCCTGGTGGTTCTGCGCATGCGCCATGGTAGTTTCGCCCCCCCATTCTATGAATGAGCGCCTATGCACATGCGCAAACTGAGAAAAAAAATAAAAACCTGCCAACACACGCTCCCGCACGTCAATAGTGTAGACGCCGGGGAGCAACGTGACTGCGCGGTGAGGCGGGATAAGGGAGGTAAGTGTGATTGCGATTATCCAGATCAAATATAATCTGGTTAGAATCGGAGTAGTTTAACCCGTTCTCAGCACGTTGTCTGACCGCCCCTCTGACTAGCAACTCTACAAGGTCTCAGTCAGAGCCTGTCCCAGCATCGGCTGCCTTTTAATTGGGGATCCTGGGAATTAAAGCTGGGACTTTCTGCATTCAAAGCCAGTGCTCAGCCACTGAACACCTTTTAATAGGCTGGTCTGTCTAATGCTAGATTCACTTTTATGGGTTGCCTGTTGAATGTTTTGCTACCATCTCAAGGCTGGATATGGAACAGAGAGCATTCCTCATGCTTCCACTTATTTTTCTTCTCCTACCATTGTCTGTTCTTGGTATCCAAGTATACAGTTTTGATGTGTCTTTCATTCTTCCTGTTTCTTCTCTTTTTTGTCCCCTCCCAGGTGGCCACTGATAAGTCTTGCTGCATCTTCTCCCCCCCCCCCCGAAATATTGTTTTGATTTTCTCTCCCTTATCTAAACTACTGCCACCTCTCTTTCATTGGCCTTTCTTTCTGATGTTCAAGGTTCTCTTGTGCTTTGCCTCTTGCTTCCTTGATCTCTGTGCATGCTCCCATGGTCTCTTTACTCTGCTTATTCCCAGCAACTTCCTTTACTGGTTGCACCCGGCTGACTCCTGTCCTTTACCAACATCCACAATTTTTTGAAATACCTTTCATTAACCACCACAAATTTCACTCACTGTTCAGTGTACGAGTCAGATCTTTCCTTTGTTTCTTCACTGCTCTTCCTGTTTTGAACCTTTTAGTCTCCATTCCTTGTACACCTCCGTAGGCAGCAAGAATAGTTCAACTGTACTACTTATCTTAGTGGGGGGGGGAATGGGGGAAAAGGGAACAAGGGAAAATGGCCGCATGAATGTCTGCTCTGCTGCAGTCTTTAGGTTCTGTGACCTTACTAGGAAACTTTCTCTCACTTATCAGATCCCCTCCAAATTAAAAGAGGCATTGAAGACTGCCAAAGAATGCATAGAGAAGAGGCTAGTAGAAGAACAGAAACTGGTAACTCTTGAACCTTTTTTATTTTTATGGATTACCCCATAGTCAAACTGAGTGAGCTGCGTTAAATAATAAGAAGCATGGCCCATGAAATCCGAAAGCCAGTGCTTGTACTTGGGGCCAGAATACACACTCTTCAGTCTCCTCCTCTCCATCAGGGACTGGCAGGGGAGCTAGGGTCCAGCTTTTACCCTCTTTAGAAGCTGAGCAGTTAGATCCCACTGCCAACCTTTGATGGAGAGGCTGAGCTTGAAGACCATGTGTTCTACTGTTTCCCTTTGAGTGCCTGTCCAGGCCAGAAAGTGGAGTCCTCAATAGCAGGACTTGCTGCCAGGGGCAGCCTGGCCATCTTACTTACAGGGAAAGTTCCCAGCGGGCCACTGCCCTAGAGGGCCACTGGGAGATAGGTGCAATCAGGACAAAAACCCCTGTAGTTCTAGCACTGTAGAGACTACTCTGCTCTGAGCTGGCTAGTGGCGCCACCTAGGGGTGGTGTACAGGCAACAGGTAAGCTGACAGCCATTGTGGGTGCCGATGGCCGAGTCTGAGATGAGTGGCCTCAGCCATGAAGGGGCTGTAGCTGTAGCACCACAGGGGAGACTCCGCCTGACTTGCTCCTGGCCCATTTTACCTTCCCAGTCTGCCCCCGCCCTGCTTGCTGCCCAGGAGGAAAGGAGCAGAGCCCAACTCTCTCTCAGGCCACTCAAAACATCCCCAAAGCGTTCCTTTCCTCAGGCTCAGCGGCAGGCAAGGCCACGACTCTGTCAAAGCAAGATATTTTTTTTGGATTAGACATAAATCAATGACGGAAACAGTCAAAAACTTTTTTTTTGTCCTCCTTAGCCTCTGTGCCCTAGTTTTCCTGCTTATGCTGATGGGCTTTGAGGCCAAGAAAGCATTCCTCCTCCACATTACGTGTGTTTACGTTTTAGGGAAATGCTGAGCTGTGTTGCTTTGCTCTTATTCTCAGGGTGCCCATCTGATAACGTCCAGCTTGGAAGGATGCCCAGAGAAAGAGCTGAACTCTGCTCACTAGCTACCCTTCAGACCCTGGGAATAGTTGTGGGGGAAGATGTTGTTTTGCACAGGGCACCCCACAACATGATGCCCTTTCTGCATGTACCTGCGTAAGGAAGCCTGCCTCAGTCGACCTGCAGAACCCCTGATGGAGGAGGGAACACGTGATGGACCATTCCCAGGCATTTAAAGGGGGTGGGGGGCAGTGTTCCCTCTAAGCTGAGTTAGTGTGAGCTAGCTCACAGTTTTTCAGCCTCCAGCTCACAGATTTTTGTCTTCGCTCAGGATGACTCCAGAGCCATCTAATTTATGCAGTAGCCAAATTGCTCACTCACAGATTTCATGCCAGTAGCTCACAGAGTAGAATTTTTGCTCACAGGACTCCACAGCTTAGAGGGAACATTGGTGGGGGGTGGGGAGAGACTGATTGTTGAGGCCATTGTGGGAGGGACAGCAGCAACACTGCTGGACGTTGGGAAATGTTTCCTTCTGGCAAACACCTGCGACGTGCCCAGTTCTAAATCTCACTTCTTTTCCTTTTAATAAAAGATCCATCAGCACAGAAGACTGACGAGAGCTCAGTCTCATCACGGGTCAGAGGAAGAGAAAAAAAAGAGAAAGATCTTGGCACGAAAGGTGAGATGGACCAGGATATACAAAACAAATAAACCAGTTCTCCCAAACTCTTGTTATTCTCCCCCCCCCCCCAGTGTATGTTTATTTAGTATTTAAGCTGGGATACGCAGCTGCTTTTCAGAGTTCTCTAAAATAGCCTTCCCCCTTCTGAAGGCTTTCTTCCAAAAAAAAAACAAAAAAACACCCAGAGAGCAATTTGTATTTTTGCTCTGGTGCGGAATGTTTTCTCCTTGCAGAGCCTGCCATGTATTTGTATTTTTGTACACTGCTTAGTTATTTGGGGGCTCTTAATAGAAATGGTAGAACAGGTTTTATCAAGCTGTTTGAGACAGCAATGATAATAAGCCACACTTTTGTCCCATCCTTTCTTCACACAACTCTAAACGGCTGTCCTCTTTCGTCCATGCAGCAGATTAGGTTGAAAGAAGATGGCTGGCCAACAAGTCATTGTGCTGAAACTTTGTGGCTGAGTGGGATTTGAACCCAGTTCAGCACCCCACAGTAATATCTGCATTAGATTAATGAAGAGAGAGAGGATATCTGAACAATCCTGCCTGTTGATCCTAAGATGTGCAGAGGGGTCTGACTGTGGCTACTTGTATTTTTGTCATCTGTAATGTGGCTGTATGCAGCCTCCATTGGTCCCCTGGCCGTCTGCCTTGCACACAGGACCAAAAAGGTTGGTGTATTCTTGATGCCACTGGGAGGCAGTGACGGCATGAAATTCTGTTCCAAGAGGGACAGTTTCTCAGGGGGAAGTGAAAACAAGCGAGGGACAGATTCTGCCTAGGAAGGGACTCTGTGAAGTATAATACACAGGGATGACTCAGGTTCCGTATTCTATCACTTGCTTTTGAGACTGATTGCATGTTGCAATTCTGATGAACTCCAGCTTCAGTGAAGCACTGGGGGAGGGTTAGGGTTGCCAAGTCCGGACTTACCTGCCGGCAGGGGACTTTGGCCTTGCTCCCGGTGCGCGCGCACGCGCTGCATGCACGTCACAGGGAAGTGACGTCATGACGCTGGGGGCGGGGCACAGCCATTTGAGGGGAAAACTCTGTTTTCATGACGTCACTTCCCTGTGACGTGCACGCGGGGGTGGGGTTTCCCCCGAGCCTCGATTCCGCGGGGGCGGAAATCGGGGCCCCAAAGTGGAATTATGCAGAGGTGCACAGGCAGATTGCATTAAAGATGGGGACTGAGAGGAGTGTTTAACCCTTGGAGTCAAGACTTGTACTGGTGGTTTTGTCCCTGCTGGTCTGATCAACCCGTCAGCCCACGCTAATTCAGACCGGCCTGGTGTGTATGTAAAATATAGGACCAGTTTGAAACCAGAGGAGGGGGAAAAAAGAATGATTCGGCCATTGACAAAGTATCTGGAAATGCTTCAGTCCCTTCTTGTTCTGTTGTTTTCTGTCTCTAAAGAAGTCCAAACGCTCTGCCTTCGAGAGTGGGGAAGAACAAACCATGAAGTACAGCAACTCAAACAATTCAGGTAACCAGCTGTACCCAGGGAGAACTTGTGTTGCTCTTTTGTCTGGGAGTTGGTGAATTGTTCGTGAAACACTGAAATCGTATTACTTCTATTGTTCCTTGTTTAAAGGTTGCCAAATGTAAAGTTGGAGGGACCTTTTTCTGGGCTAGTGACTTGTGGCATAAAAGAAATTCTAAGTTTCTTCCCCCATGAGAAGAGATGTGTGCCTATAGGTTACTTCTGGTCTGTGGTGGAGTTCATTTGTAGACCACACACATTAAGTGCTCCACCTTAATGTAGGGTTGAGCCCTGGAATGCTGTTTCCCCCCCTCTATTTTTATAGCAGTTGGGCAGATTGCTTGCTTGGGAGCCAGGTGCAGTTGCCATGAGTAAGGGTGATCGCGTACACAGCTCCTTTGACACCGTAGTTCATGTAATGGATCCAAACTAGACAGCATGTGGGAGATTTCTGAACAGCCTCTTGGTGGGGCACAACTGAAATCGGGCAGCAAGAGGCTTGCAAATTTGGTAAGGGTGGAGCGTATATGCGGATGGGCACACTCGCTTGTTTAACCCATCATGGCTTACTTTTCCAATCAACAGCAGTCACAGCTGATCTGGTTTTCCATCTAGAACATAACAGAACATAACAGAGAAGCCAATGTTGGATCAAGCCAATGGCCCATCCAGTCAAACACACTATCACATAGTGGCCAAAAATAACAGGTGTTATCAGGAGGTCCAGCAGTGGGGCCAGAACACTAGAAGCCCTTCCACTGTTGACATACACCCCCGCACCAAGAATACAAGGCATCACTTGCCCCAGACTGAGAGTTCCTATCTTCCTATCTATGGGAAGAAAGGAGAAGGGGACCTGGGGAGAGAGAAGCAGCTTGAGAAGCATGACTTAAAAAACAAAACCCTAATCTGTGAGAGAAATTAAGTATGCACATACATACCCTCCAATCAAATTCATAGTCTGCCCCTGCTGCATTTCAATTTTGTCTTTGTTTTCTTTTAAATAAGGCTTTCACACGTCTCTTCTGAATCTAGTTTGGTCCCCTCCTTGGTGTAGACAATAATTCAGTTCTTCCCGAGCCTTCTTAGCAGGGATTCACCGACAACACTTCATCTCGTTCAGCACTGTTTGCTGACCCCAGCTTCTGATCCGGCAGAACCTCCCTGTAAATTTCTTCTTCTAGCCTATCCCAGCCCACAGTGTGGCCTTGAGTGTAAAGCCAGCAAAAATCCTCTGTTGGAATTATGACTCTTCTGTGCTTTATTGTTCACTGCTGTTCTGATAGTGCTTTTGTCTTAAGCACAGATGAAAGTGGGTGAACTGCATGGCAAAGGTGCTGCCCAATCGCACTACTTGGCCCAACAGGATTCCATGGTGGGCCCGCATGCTGTACTAGGTCTCCCTTTTCCTGCTTTGATATAATCCCCTCCCTGCCTGTGCTTGTTTGGTGGGTCCGCTGTTTGTTCCAATAAGGAATCTCATTTTAAGCACTGCAGCGCCAGCAATTGTTTGCATTTCTCCTTCAGCAGGCTCTGGGGCCAGTTCACCTATGACTTCGCCTTCCTCTCCTGTTCCGCCCTCCACCACAGGTGAGTTAGAGTGTCAACACGCTGCCTCCCCACCTCTGCCTTGGTTTTGTTGCTCAGCATGAGATGGACCACTTTTAACCTTTACAAGAGAGAAAACGTCTGCCCTTAAGAGTCTTCTTTCGTTCTACGGTATAACCAGATAAAGAGTTCCAATTCCAGGTTTCGCAGTTGTGCAGGAAACGGTTCCAGCTTCCTTGTCTCGCGGCTTCTGTATTCACACTTGATCAGTCTTTGCTTCATAGTCTGTGCTGCTTTAATCCGGCCCACCTCCCTGCCTTTCTCAATAACCCGTGAGCCTTGTGTTGTATTGCAAACCACATTTGCAGGACTTACCTGTGTGTTGACTCTATCTGTGCTCTCTGCTTTTGTCTTTCAACGGCTCCTTTGTGTACGCCCGGTTTAATACTCCACCTCTGTGTCAACAGCACACGCATGGCTGCTGTTTGAGATGTCAGTGAAGGATCTTGGTCATTTGGGGGAACCGATGCAGTTGGCTTCTGGCAGTTGGAGCCTGGTAACAGAAGGAGTGATAGTGTTGGGTAGTAACTAAGAAGCTGAGCTATGAATTCGGGCATCTACTGTGCCTCTACTATGAATTCCCTAGGTGACCATAGGCAAGCCACTGTCTCACTCACTGACCTACCTTCAAAGGGTCGTTGTACAGGATTACAGGACGATGTATGTGAAAAACATTGAATGTTCCAAAGTACCACATAAATCTAAAATACCAGATTAAAAAATAATAATAAAAGTACCAGATAAATCAAATTCATATATGTCTTTGTGTGCCAACCCCTCAACTTGTTGGTAGTAGTTCTGAACTTTCTGGAAATACGGGATCCAAAGGTTGGAACATAGACAAAATAAAAACACAGTCTCTTGGCGTGTCCAGATATGACTCTTCATGGAACTCTCCTATCTAGCACTAGTAAGAAGCATTCTCTGCAAAAGTAATTGTAGATGTGGCAAGACACCCTCCGCTTGATCCTGTGAGGGTAGCCACTTGCTTCGTAGATCAGCCAGCACAGACTGCTACATCGTAGGGATCAGAAAGATCTCTGGTGGAAGAATGGGAAAGGCTCTTTACCACAGCAAGCTGCTTTAGAAGGATTCTGCCAGTCCTGTATTACCACGCTGAAGTAGGCGATCCATTGACCTGAGACGGTACGAATTGATTCCCTTTCTTAGTGCAGTGACAGGTGCTCATCGGAGCCAAGTCCCCTGTCAAGTCACCTAGCATGCCGAAGGTGGCAGTGAAGAGCCAAAGCTTATTTTCCTGGGTGTTTCTGAAGAGTAGCCACACCTCTGCCCTGACCTGGACGGCCCAGGCTAAGTCTGATCTCGCCCGATCTCAAAGTTTAACAGGGTTGGCCCTAATTAGTACTTGGATGGGAGACCACCAAAGAAGTCCAGAGTCACTATTTGGAGGCAGGCAGTGACAAGCCACCTTTGAAGTCTCTTGCTGTGAAAACCCCTAGGGGGGGGTCGCTTGTAAGTCAGCTGCGACTTGACAGTGCTGTATATACACACACAATCCTCCTCCGTCACAGATCCCACTTGGAGGTATAACGAGATCTTAGCTGATGGAAGAGGTGGGGAAATACCAGCCTTTTCAGGAGCATCCCAGTCCCTTCAGAAAACAACAGGAACAGCCCACTTCCCAGCTGTGGGACCTTGTCTGCCTTTGCCCTCCTCATGGAGCTACTTCATGTGGAATTGTTTAATTTTTTCTTTTAAAAATGAGGTTTGCAACTTCTTTCATGTCTGAATTTTCACAAGGCTGTCAGTCAGCGAGTGGTTAATTCCTGTGTTGTAAATTAAGGCTGACCTGCTGATTGGCCCCTGGCCCTCCCTCTCGCGTAGAATGCCTGAGCCACAATTGGAACACATGAGATGGGATCAGATTTGAGATCGCTGGATGGTCTCTGCTGCTGGGTCTGGTTGCTCTCAATTGAATTAAGCTGCATGTTCTGCTGTAACCTGGTTTTGGTGTTTTTTTTAACTCCTGTTATCTGTTTTCTATCATGCAGACAGCTGCAGATTAGATGAAACCGCAGGAATATATATGTTTGTTCTTTTTTATGGCAGGGGAAAATATTTAGACAGTATGGCTATTTACATTTTGTGGAAGGAAGAGGCTTCTCTCTCCCGCCTATCCCCCCACCCCCTTTGAAGCTCTCTTCAGTGTCTACTTAAATTGAAAAGGAGTTTTTCTTCTTAACACCAAGCCTTTGAATGCAATATAAGTGTCTCCTTTGAAACCTCCTTCTGATGCTTGGCTACAAAGGAAACCTTGTATACGCTGAATGCAATTTAGAATATCATCGTGATCTTATAGACACAGAATGTTTTGGTATACTGATGGTAATTCTGCTATGTTTGATTTGGGTGGGGGTTGTTTGGGCTGTTGTCACCATTTAAAAATGTTTCCATAGCGGGTAGCCAGTGTGGTCTAGCAATTAGAATAGGACTTTGAAACCCAGGTTCAGACTTGCTAAGCCTTAAATCTCATTGGGCGACCTTAGTCAGGATCTAACCTTAACGAAGAGTCAGGTGGAATTCCATATAGATGAAATCAAAAAGCACCATCTCAGTCTGCCATGAGGAAGCGTTTCCCAGCAAAGCTATGTTTGAGGAGGGCTTCTATATTCTGTGGAAAGGATGTATCTGCTGAACAGTAGTGTGTTGGGGTCCTTTTGGGGCATTTCTGAAATCACACATAAGAAGAGCCCTGCTGGATCCCTTTACAAACCCCCCTTGATGGCTGCATTCGTCATCTTGCGGCATACTGGTGCTGCCGGGCACTCGGGGCACACATTTGGTGTCCCCTAGGCTTCAGTTGTTGTAGCCCCATCCTGGTGGAATGCCCTCTCAGATGAGGCTCAGGCTCTGCAGGACCTCCCTAGGTTTTTCGGGCCCTGTAAGGCTGAGCTTTCCTGTCAGGCCTTTCCCAGTTAAGTGTATTTTGGGGCTTAATGCTGGATCCACTGCTATCAGTTGTAAATAGTTTGCTTTTTATACTCTATATTTTATATTGTCTTAACTCTCTTATCTCTGTTTTTATTATTGTGGGGGAGGGGCAGTATATAAATTGAAATAATAAATAAAATAAATAAATCAGACCAATGGTCCATGTAGTCCAGCATCTTGTGTCACACAGTAGGCGACCAGTTCCTCTGGAGGGCCAACAACAGGGCATGGAGGTTGAGGCCTTCCCCTGATGTTGTTTCCTGGCACTGGGATTCAGAGGCTTAGTGCCTCTGAATGTGGAGTCTCCCCTCAGTCACCATGGCTAGTAGCCACTGATAGACATCCTCCACCAATCTATCTAATCCCCTTTTAAAGCTGTTTATTCCTGTGGCCATCACTACATCCTCTGGCAGCAAATTCCACATTTGAATCACTCTCCATGTAAAGAAGTATTTCCTTTTGTTTATCCTGAATCTACTGCCCATCAGCTTCATTGGATGCCCTCGAATTCTAGGATTTTGGGAGAGGGAGAAAAATTTATCTTTTGTCAACTCTCTCTACCCCATGGATAATTTTATAAACCTCTGTCATGTCCTACCGCAGTTGTCTCTTTTCTAAAGTAAAAAGTCCCTGACTCTTCAGCCTTTCCTCATAGGGAAGGTACTCCAACCCCCTAATCATCTTGGTTGCCCTCCTTTGTACGTTTTCCAGCTCTGTGGTATCTCTTTTATGTGTGTTTTATCATCCATCCATTTCAATGGAAGGCACTATCTGTAGGCAAGAAAAGGAGTGCTGTAACCCAGCGATTTCGCACTAGAGCTGCCTCGTGGTTGCGCCACCGTTTGCCCCAACACAAATATGTCAATTTCACACCCGAAGCTGCGGGGCTGCATTTTGACTCATGGCTTCACACGATTTCCCCTGCAGTTTCGTGATCCTGGTTTTTGAGGATCACGAAACTGCGGAGGAAATCGGGCGAAGCCGCGGGTCAAATGCAGCCCCGCAGCCTCGGGTGTGAAATTGACAAATAGTGTCGGGGCAAACGGCGGCACAACCGCGAGGCAGCTCTAGTGTGAAATTGCCCAGTGACTCCTTGGTTGCAAAGCCACCCACTTCAAATCTTCTAATCTAAGAATTTTCTAATCTAATAATCGGCATTTACACAGGGCATGTGATCTGAGTTCTAAGTCGCCTCATTTGAAATGTGGATACCATGGACCGCCAAAAAGACAAAACGGTGGGTTCTAGATCAAATCAAGCCTGAATTCTCCCTGGAAGCTAAAATGACTAAGTGGAGGCTGTTGTCCTTTGGTCACATTGTGAGAAGACAAGATTCACTGGAAAAGACTATAATGCTAGGGAAAGTTGAAGAGAGCAGAAAAAGAGGAAGACCGAACATGGGATGGATTGACTCAGTCAAGGAAGTTAACGGCCTTCAGTTTGCAAGACCTCAGCAAGGCTGTTAACAATAGGACATTTTGGAGGTCATTAATGCATAGGGTCGCCATAAGTCAGAAGCAACTTGACAGCACATAACTACAAGTGGCCTTAAACTGCTGGTACTCACAGGTGTGAGTGGATACAGGATCAGGACTGGGGCTGTGAGCAAAATCCAGGTGTCATTTGGAATGCACAGAGGCCATCAGACCGGGCAAGGAGGCGGTGTTAATAGTGTTAATAGTGACAGGCAAAGCTGAAGCAAAAGATGATGGGGTTCCTCCCACTACTGGATTCCATAGAAATGGCAACCCACTCCAGTACTTTTGACAAGAAAACCCCATGGACAGTATCAAAAGGCTAAAAGATATGACGCCGGAAGATGAGCCCCTCAGGTCGGAAGGTGTCCAATATGCTACTGGGGAAGAGCAGAGGGCAAGTACAAGTATGAGATGGTTAGACAGTGTCATAGATGCAACGAACAGGAAGCTGAGCAAACTTCAGAGGACGGCGGAAGACCGGAAGGCCTGGCATGATCTGGTCCATGGGGTCGCGAAGAGTCGGACTCGACTGTGCGACTGAACAACAACAAC